GAACATACAATATAACATTAGGTAACAATAATATTAGTTGGGAATGAAACGAATACATGTCCAAAGACACTTCAGCTTCACAGAGTCGTGTGCGAACCAATACAACAAACCTGATTATGACGGAGGAGATTCATCATCACCTTCTGTAGAAGTTTCATTCAGAACAACAAACTCTCTCGAGGAAAATCCGAACTTGATCACGTCTCTCTCTCTTAGCTCGTGATACCTGGAAACGCTCGTTGAGTGTTTAAACGGATGGGAGAACCACACCTTTGAGCGTCAATCTTGTCTCCGTTAATGAAGGTTCCATTGGCACTGCCCAAGTCGATAAGGTAAGGCAGAGTTTTACGTCCTCTTGATCCATCAGCTCGTTCGAAAGGCATGGACCTTAGAAAACAACAGAATAAGTTTTACAATCTGTTTACATACCGATATTGGAGAGCAGCGTGCTGCTTACTACAGCTAGGATGATCTACTGGAATATCAGCTACTTTTCTGTCGCGGCCTATCAGGTACGCTGACTGACGATGAACATATAAGGCAGGCAATGACTCCTCTCCTTTGAAAGGATACAATCGCCATCTAGGAAAAGTTATTGAAAACTTTATCTGATAATTTTCTCACCTAAGGGTGGGCATTTTCGCCTCGGGGGGTTCATTATACTTCACGACAACACCTCGGAATGTGTTTGTGTCTTCAGCAAGCTTACCACTAGTAGCCATTATCACCTGAAACAATACATGGAACAGAATATCATATTTGAACTCACTTTTTCCTTCTCGATCACAGGTTCCTCTTCTTTCTTCATCCACATCTCTGGCTTACCCCATTTCTCCTTACTGAAAGAAAAATTTAGAAAAGCTTGAAGTACTCAACTTACTCANCCCATTTCTCCTTACTGAAAGAAAAATTTAGAAAAGCTTGAAGTACTCAACTTACTCATCCTTGAGAGATCCTTTCATTCCATCGCCAAAACGTTCCATTCCTACAAAACAGATATAAATATCAATCAAAAAACTGAACGGAGACTCAAATCTCCGCAGCACTGCGACTATTACGCATTCTCTCGTCAACTAACGTTTACCTGATTTCCTCCTGTTCCATGGCACTGGTGAACACCAGGAGTTTCTCCAGACTTTTTTCCTAATGTATCCAAAAAAGAACTGGTTGTGTTTTCCTCCCTTTTGCTTTTGAGCTGAAAAATGCATATAACAACTTACTCTCTGAATCTCTAACAAACCTCTGCCATAGTCGGAGACCTACGTACACCTAGTACATACAACTAGTGCATCACACAGACCCTGCAATATCTTGTATCCAGAGATTAAGCGAGAAAAATACCTCTNAAGCTGTGCTGATGAGCAGAAGTGTGGGCGCGTAGGCAATTTGTGGAGTTCACATAATAAGTATCAGAAGGACGTCTGAGACAGAATCACATAGAAATATTAAATTTCTCTACCAACTGATTCTAAATGAAAAACATTGTAACAATCATTGAATGCTTAAAGTGTTTACCGTCTTCAGAAGCATCATCAACCAGAATTATCTATTTCAAGAGTTTTGGAGGTGATCTCATCAGCGCACTAAAAACTCGTACCAAGGTAGCATCGGTTCAGTTTTAGGCAGAAATGTTTCCGCTCGAACATAAATCTAATAACACTATGCTGCTCGAACTAAGCCGTGACTGATTTCAGTGGAATGTTCATCAAGCTACTTTCCAAAATAAAACAATTATCTTCATTTTATGAAAGAGCATTTGAACATACAATATAACATTAGGTAACAATAATATTAGTTGGGAATGAAACGAATACAT